CAAAATATTTCACAATTTGTATGGAAACACAAAAGACCCCGAATAGCCAAAGCAATCTTGAGAAAGAAAAACGGAGCTGTAGGAATCAGACTCCCTGACTTCAGACTATACTACAAAGCTACAGTAATCAAGGCAGTATTGTACTGGCACAAAAACAGAAATATAGATCAGTGGAACAGGATAGAAAGCCTAGAGATAAACCCACGCACCTATGGTCAGCTTATTTTTTGATAAAGGAGGCAAGAATATACAGTGGAGAAAAGACAGCCTCTTCAATAAGTGGTGCTAGGAAAACTAGACAGCTACATATAAAAGAATGAAATTAGAACACTCCCTAATACCATACACAAAAATAAACTCAAAATGGACTAAAGATCGAAATGTAAGACCAGACAGTATAAAACTCCTTAGAGGCAAACATAGGTAGAACACTATGACATAAATCACAGCAAGATCCTTTTTGTCCCACCTCCTAGAGAAATGGAAATAAAAACAAAAATAAACAAATGGGACCTAATGATACTTAAAAGCTTTTGCGCAGCAAAGGTAACTATAAACAAGACGAAAATACAACCCTCAGAATGGAAGAAGATATTTGCAAATGAAGCAACTGACAAAGGATTAATCTTCAAAATTTACAAGCAGCTCATGCAGCTCAGTATGAAAAAAAAAAAAACCCAATCCAAAAACGGGGAGAAGACCTAAATAGACATTTCTCCAAAGCAGATATACAGATTGCCAACAAACACATGAAAGGATGCTCAACATCACTAATTATTAGAGAAATGCAAATCAAAACTACAATGAGGTATCACCTCACACCAGTCAGAATGGCCATCATCAAAAAATCTACAAACAACAAATGCTGGAGAGGGTGTGGAGAAAAGGGAACCCTCTTGCACTGTTGGTGGGAATGTAAATTGATATGGCCACTACGGAAAACAGTATGGAGATTCCTTAAAAACCTAAAAATTAGAACTACCATAAGACCCAGCAATCCCACTACTGGGCATATACCCTGAGAAAACCATAATTCAAAAAGAGTCATGTACCACAATGTTCATTGCATCTCTGTTTACAATAGCCAGGACATGGAAGCAACCTAAGTGTCCATTGACAGATGAATGGATAAAGAAGATGTGGCACATATATACAATGGAATATTACTCAGCCATAAAAAGGAACGAAATTGAGTTATTTGTAGTGAGGTGGATGGACCTAGAGTCTGTCATACAGAGTGAAGTCAGTCAGAAAGAGAAAAACAAATACCGTATGCTAACACATATATATGGAATCTACAAAAAAAAAAAAAGGCCCTGAAGAACCTAGGGACAGGACAGGAATAAAGACACAGATGTAGGGAATGGACTTGAGGACATGGGGAGGGGGAAGGGTAAGCTGAGACGAAGTGAGAAAGTGGCATTGACATATATACACATATATACACATTTTACACCAAATGTAAAATAGATAGCTAGTGAGAAGCAGCCGCATAGCATAGAGAGATCAGCTCGGCGCTTTGTGACTGCCTAGAGGGGTGGGATAGGGAGGGTGCGAGGGAGACGCTAAAGGGAGGAGATATGGGGATATATGTATATGTATAGCTGATTCACTTTGTTATAAGGCAGTAACACACCATTATAAAGCAATTATAATCCAATAAAGATGTTAAAAAAAAAAGAGTATAAAGTGTTTGTGCATTTTTAAAGGGAGGGACTGTGACTCCTTTTTTAAAATTGAAGTATAGTTGATTACAATGTTGTGTTAATTACTGCTGTACAGCAAAGTGATTCTGTTATACACATATATACATTCCTTTTTTAAAATATGTATTTTTTCCATTATGTTTTATCATGGGATATTGAATATAGTTCTCTGTGCTATTCAGTAGGACCTTGTCGTTTATCCATTCTATATATAAAAGCTTACATCTGCTAACCCCAACCTCCTACTCCATCACTCCTCTGACCCCCTCCCCCTTGGCAACCACCAGTCTCTTCTCTATGTTAGTGATTCTGTTTCTGTTTCATAGATAAGTTCATTTGTGTCATATTTTAGATTCCACATATAAGTGGTATTATATGGTATTTGCCTTTATCTTTCTGACTTACTTCACTTAGTATGATAATCTCTAGTTGCATCCATGTTGCTACAAATGATATCATTTTGTTCTTTTTTATGGGTGAATAGTATTCCATTGTTTATAGGTACCACATCTTCTTTATCCATTCATCTGTTGATGGACATTTAGGTTATTTTCATGTCTTGGCTATTGTGAATAGTGCTGTTATGAACATAGGAGTGCATGTATCTTTTTGAATTATATATTTATCCAGATATATGCCCAGGAGTGGGATTGCTGGATCATATGGTAATTCTAATTTTAGGTTTCTGAGGAACCTCCATACTGTTTTCTACAGTGACTGCACCAACTTACATTCTCACCAATGGTTAGGAAGTTTCCCTTTTCTCCACACCCTCTCCAGCATTTGTTATTTGTAGACTTTTTAATAATGGCCATAATGACTGGTGTGAGGTGGTACCTCACTGTAGTTTTGATTTGCATTTCTCTAATAATTAGTGATGTTGAGCATCTTTTCTTGTGCCTCTTGGCCATCTGTATATCTTCTTTGGAGAAATGTCTATTTATGTCACCTGTCCATTTTTGGATTGGGTTGTTTGTTTTTTTTGTTGTTGAGTTGTATGAGCTGTTTGTATATTTTGGAAATTAAGCCTCTGTCGGTTGCATTGTTTGCAAATATTTTATCCCATTCTGTAAGTTGTCTTTTGGTTTTGTTTATGGTTTCCTTTCCTGTGTGAAAGCATGTAAGTTTGATTAGGTCCCATTTGTTTATTTTTGTTTTATTTCTATTGCCTTGGGAGGCTGACCTAAGAAAACATCGGTACCATTTATGTCAGATAATGTTTTGCCTATGTTCTCTTCTAGGAGTTTTATGATGTCATGTAATATGTTTAAGTCTTTAAGCCATTTTGAGTTTATTTTTGTGTATGGTGAGAGAGTGTGCTCTCACTTCACTGATTTACAGGTGGCTGTCCAGGTTTCCCAACACCACTTGCTGAAGAGACTTTTTTCCCATTGACCCCTTTCTCGAAGATTAATTGACCATAGGTGTGTGGGTTTATCTCTGGGCTCTCTTTTCTGTTCCATTGATCCATATGTCTGTTTTCTGCCAGTACCACACTGTTTTGATTACTGTAGCTTTGTAGTACTGGCTGAAGTCTGGGAGGGTTATGCTTCCTGCTTTGTTCTTTTTCTTCAGGAATGCTTTGGCATTTGTGGGTCTTTTATGGTTCCATATGAATTTTAGGACTATTTGTTCTAGTTCTGTGAAAAATGTCATGGGTAATTTGATAAGGATTGCATGAAATCTGTAGATTGCCCAAAGCACCTATTATTACCATGTCCTTGCTTATCTCCCCAGTCCCACTCCTTCTACATCAAGCTCTGGGCACACCCTACTAAACTTCTGATGTTTCTTGTCTACTTGGGGCGTTCACATGTGTAGTTCACAGGGGTGGCTCCTTCTCATCATTCTTCAGATCTCTGTATGCATAAACACATGGAAGAATATGTGGGTGGTGGTCCTCTGGTTTAGTGGCTCATTACCACATTGTAGTCTTGTTTCGTAGCTGGGAGTGTTTGGACTTTCTACACTTTTATCATGACTGTTTTGTGATTGTTTTCCTAGATTTAAAATTTTGATGACAGAGAAGTGAAATATCATGAAAAAAATCTAGGAATACTGGAACTCAGTCTACTACCTAATATTTTAGCTACATTTTAGAAAATACAGTCCAATAAAACTGGTTTTTAAATTACCAGACACAAAAGATCAAATCTTCAACACTTCATTCATTAACAAAAGCTGATTCTGTGACTACTATATGCATGTTTCTAAAACAGAGCTCTTCTGATATGGGAGGGAATTCTGCCTAGGATTTCCTTCCCATTTCCATGATTAAAACTCTGCCAGGGGCTTCCCTGGTGGCGCAGTGGTTGAGGGTCCGCCTGCCGATGCAGGGGACGCAGGTTCATGCCCCAGTCTGGGAAGATCCCACATGCCGCGGAGCGGCTGGGCCCGTGAGCCATGGCCGCTGAGCCTGCGCATCCGGAGCCTGTGCTCCGCAACTGGAGAGGCCACAACAGTGAGAGGCCCGCGTACCGTGAAAAAAAAAAAAACAACTCTGCCAGGCATACTTACTGAAGGCTGACCATGGTGATCTGTTACTGGAAATCTGTTTTGGGGACCCTGCACAACAATCTTTGCAAAGCTACTTTTGGTTAATTTGTTTCTGACATGCCTGTTCTTTACTTATCAGAGGGAGGTCATTGTTCCATAGGTTATGACAATGAAGGGAGCTGATGTATATAAGGACGGAGCTAGCTACCGCCATTTCATGAAGAGGATGGAAATTTTGCTGGATTCCTCCTCTGTTAGGGATAAAATTTATCTAGGATTCATAAGGAACACTATGAATGTGGATGCACTATTTCTATAGCCATATCCTTCTGTGAAGTATTTGACAGAGAACAGTGTACAAAGTTGCCAGGACCCCTTGCAAATAACTCAGAGGCCTTCAGGTTTGATCCATTTTACTCTCTCTTCTCAAAGGATAGAAAAGGAGGTTCAAAAGTCTTATAATTCACGAAGCACTCAACACCCAGTCTCTCAATCTAAGCTTTCCTAAAAAAACCTAAAATGGGTAAGAAACTCACTTCTTCACAATTATAAAAAGCTAGTAAATATGCACTATGTATCAGAAGAAATAATGTTGAAAACTGAGCAAGAGCTCTGGTGTCACCAATTTTTAATATTCAGGGTCCAGAGAGCAAGTTCATGACAGGCATTTTGCTTGTGACTGAAGTGAAAGGCAAAACTAAATTTTTTGTACCTCAAGCAGATCACCTTATAAACAGAATAAATCAAGTAAATGGATACATCGTTACTAAGAAATACTTATCTGTTAATTCTCAACAGACAGGAGCAGTTACCCGTGGCCTGAGGACAACTGGGGACCCCTGAGACCCATTCAGGGGACCTGCGAGGTTCCACCTTTTCCAACCACATATTTCTGAGGCCGGACTTTTTTCATGTATTTCCACCAGAACAACATGGCACAGCAGATCGAATGCAGAAGCAGGTAAGGGAATCCAGCTGTATTCTATTAAGCCAGGTAATAAAGAGATTTTCAGAAATGTAAAACAATGCCACTCTTCTCACAGATTTTTATTTTGAAAAAGTTTTTAATAAAACTGTAATTTGGCAGGTGATGGGCTTACTATAAAACCAATTAATATTTTTAAAGTTTCTCAGCTTTTATTTCAAATTTTATTTCAAATTTTGAAGTTTCTCACCTTTTATTTCAGTTAGTATTAACAGATAATGACCCACATAAACAAAAGTTCTTTGGGGTCCTCATTAGTTGTTAATGGCATTAAGGGCGTCCTGAGGTCAAACTGTTCCATATACCAACTCCAAGCACTCTTATCTCAAATGGAAGAAATGTGCTTGGAGCATTTAAAGAACACAGATGGACAGTTAAGAAAAATCAAATGGAAATGTAGGGTTCCATAGTCCAGAACTCAGTTATTTAAAGTAATGACATTTATGATTTTTTTTTTTTGGCTGCACTGCACAGCTTGCAGGATCTTAGTTCCCTGACCAGGGATTGAACCCCAGGCCATCGCAGTGAAAGCGCCGAGTCCTAACCACTGGACCTCCAAGGAATTCCTGACACTTGTTTTAAAGGGTAACATGAAAATTATGTTTGCCCATCAGGACTTTCAAATCCATTCAAAATCCCTGGGAAACTAAGCATCTGAATTGGCTGCATGCTGATTCTTCCCCCACTGGGGTAATCCAGTGCAGTGTGAAGGGGTGCTAGGAGTTACTTACTATGTCTGTGAGAGCAGTGCATTAGCAAGGCTGCCATTTTCATAGAAGGAAGACACGTAAGAATTAATGTCATAATGAGTTAAAAGTAAACATAAAATCTTCTTTTAGGGACTTCCCTGGTGGTCCAGTGGTTGGGACTCTGAGCTTCCACTGCAGGGGGTGTGGGGTTTGATCCCTGGTTGGGGAACTAAGATCCTGCAAGCAGCCAAAAAAAAAGAAAAGAAAAGAAAAAGAAAGAAAATAATCCTCTTTTATGTTTTTGTTTTTTTAGTTTTTATATGAGATTGCTTCTCTGGATATTAGAATAACAAGATCTTAGTCAAGAAAATTGCAAGAAGTCAATAGAAAAATTGAGATCTCTACTGCTTCTAAAAGCTGAGAACATTCTGAGGGTTATTTGTGTGGCAAGTCAAGAGCTCACTTTCATAGTTCTCTCCCTCACATCTGCACTAATGTGGTAAGTATAAGTGACTCAATACATTCACAAAGCAGTTCATTTACAATTTGCTTGTCGGTTAAAAAAAGAAAGTAGAATTAAATACAGACAGGAAAATCCTCAATTAGAAATCAGCTTAGTAACAGTCTCTCAGGCTTTCTTTTATTTTTAAACTTTTTTTTTTTTAATTTATTTTTGGCTGCATTGGGTCTTCGTTGCTGCGCGCAGGCTTTCTCTAGTTGCGGCGAGCAGGGGTTACTCTTCATTGCGGTGTGGCGGCTTCTCTTGTTGCGGAGCACGGGCTCTAGGCGTGCAGACTTCAGTAGTTGTGACATGCGGGCTCAGTATTTGTGCCTCGTGCGCTCTAGAGCACAGGCTCAGTAGTTGTGGCGCACGGGCTCTAGAGCGTAGGCTCAGTAGTTGTGGTTCACGGGCTTAGTTGCTGTACAGCACGTGGGATCTTCCTGGACCAGGGTTTGAACCCGTGTCCCCTGCATTGGCAGGTGGATTCTTAACCACTACAACCAGGGAAGTCCCTCTCAGGCTTTCTTAACTACACACTCCTTTTAAGAGTATGAGGTTTTGGGGTTTGCTATGCAGATTAAATGACGTGCATGTGAAACGGTTAGCACAGTGACTGGCACACAGGAAGTTCCTGATATGTAAGCACATTTGCATAAATAATAAAAATGAGAGGCAGAGAAACATTTACAGTATATGTCAGTGCTGCTGATCTCACTTATTTTAATTATCCAACACTTCCAGATTTTAAGTTAATTTTAGAAAAAATGTATTAGGGCCCAGAAAAGTCAGATCAATTGATCAAGGTGTCACACAGACAGTGAGGGCTTGAAATAGGATTAGATCTGTCTGCTTCCAAGTCCATGCTCTTTCCACAATGCAGTGCTATCTCCCAGGAGAGCTGAAACACAAAGCCAGTTTATTTCAGAAATCTATTTACCATAAGGTATGTTCTGTGCTTAGGACAGTTAGCTTTATTCTAGTGTTTCAAAAATATTTGAGAAGAAAAAGGTATTAACCCTTCCCTCCAAATATAAGTAACTATAGGCCTCAACTTATTAGTGACTAGCTCCTAACCAACGGCATTATGGGTATCATTCAGGCAATTTATTTTAAACAAAAAAGTAGACATCCCAAGTACTGTACAAGAACACTGTGTCTATTTATGGTTCCTGAAGATCATATCAGAGAAGTAAAAAACATTTTAAGAGGGAAAAAAATGAATCTGGAATGGCAGGGGAGATTCACACATCATATGTAAATTGCAAGAAGAGTAATTCCTTCTCTCCACAAAATAGTAGGCAAAATGAAAAACAGATACAACAGAGAAGCTATTGAAAAAGGAAAGAGGTACAGGATGGGCAAAAGGGAGCCCAAACGACTATTAAAGAAGAGTATTTTCTTGCCAGCTCCAAACTATTTTGGGGTATACAGACCTTTCTTTAGGTATCACTTAATAACCCCTTCAGAGACAAGTCATTAAATTGAATGGAACCCCAATGAGGCAATTCTTGTTTTCTTCTTTCAAGGGCTCTGAGACAAAAAACACTGGTAAGACAGCAGACTGTATGTTGAGGTACAGTAATAACTAAGGTAGGGGTTCCCTTCTGTCTTCAGAATACAACATTGGAAGAAGGCATAGTAGTAAAGAAAATGCTTTAGAAATAAATCAGTTTTATTGGAAAGAAATTTTAAACACAAAAGTTTAGAAACAAAATATTTATTTCCTTTAAGAACCACACATATTCGAAAAGGTGATGCCATACCTCTCAATTTAAAGAAAAAATTCATTTAAGATTGCGGGTTTTAAATATCAGTGAAGATATTCTCCAAGCTGCCACCAGAGCCTGGCTTGATTGCTCTGAAGTAACAACACTTGAAAGCTCCTATTCTTTGAAACTAATTTAAACACACTGAATTGTTGAAAGATTAAAAACCACAGTCAGCTAATTACACTCTCTCTCATCTCTTATTCAGCAAATGAATCACTTTTCATTACCACTTAGCTGAAGTACATGAATTTCTGCCTAATTAGAAATGTTGTAGATGGAACATTAGCAAGAATGGAGCAGGTCAGGATATCTTTGCTGCTTCATTTTTAATTCCTAACAGCAGTCTGATAGGAAGGAATAGAGAAGTCATTAAATAATTTTAAATTATTTATAAAAATTACTTTGCCCAAATTATAATTATTTCTTCCCCAAACGGTCTCTAATGTCTAACATAATGAAAGAAAAAGCAGTTCAACATTGATTTTAATGAACATTTTAATGTTATGTATAACAGAACTATATTATGAATACAATGGAAACAAAGTTTTATCAATAAAAAAAATTTCAACACAAAGTGGGGAGGTAATAATTTGATGCCTATATTATAGTATTTCTTTTAAAAAATATTCCCAGCTTAAGGGTGAAACAATTTTGCATTCCAAACTCTAGAATCATGATTTTCATGTGACCTTAATGCAGAATTACAGCAGGAAAACAATTTAATTAATTTCCTTTATTTGCCATTAAATCAATAAAATCTTTGACTGCTACAGGTCTCCTTTAATAATATATATATTTAACTCCTCTCTATTGGAACCATATTGCTAATGCCATATTATATACACTCAAAACCAAAACAATACTGTATAAAAATCTAAAAGCCAACATTGTTGAGTTCTAACATTTATATTTAAGGTCTTAATGGATTTTTACCCTTTTCAAAAATTTTTTGAAGACACCAAAAAAAAAAAAAATTTTTCTTTTTGACTGTTCCTGACTATTACATGGTGGCTACAGGGATAAACACAGAAGGAAGCCTTGCCAAGTTATCACTGCAAAGTGTAAATAATGACTGCTAAGAACAAATAAAAATACTGGAGGGTTTTTTTTCTTTTCTTTTAAAGGAAACCATAGAGCAGTCCTGAAAAAAATATTTTTCCGAGTTCTGCACAGGATAATCATAGCAGAAGAAATGGGAAAAGTCCCATAGCTATCACCAATTGCTTAAAGAGGTTTTGTTACAATAAAAATTTGGATAGTATAATAGTATTGCTGGAACATTAGCAAAAGTATATACATTCCAGTTACCTTTGATTTAGCCATAATCACATATGTATGCCTTTTTTGGACAAAAATATATATTTTTATAAAAAACTGATCATCCAACTTTAATGATTTCATATATGGACTCAAGAGTGGTAGTAAAAGGAACAGACCCAATTGTGACAAGGCAATTCAGGGACAGAAAAATCAAGTTCTTCAGGAAAAGAAAAGTATAAAATTAGAGATTCAAACACATTTATTCAGCCCTATTCTAGTATTCCCACATATTATGATATTAAAATGGGCTCCTCAATTTATAAAGGCTTTCAGTGGTCTCACTGCCCCATTTGTGGCCTAGTCTCACTGGGAAGAATGATTCTGACTGCCTCATCTGAAGCGCCCTTGCCTGGCCATCTGAAATACTAGATATTTTGCTTTTATAAAACAACCTTTTTGGTTCTTAATGTAGGTTTATTTTAACTAATTGATGAAAGAAAGGGGAGTTGACTAGCATTTTCCATCCCAACATCACCTATCTGCACCACTAAAAATCCTTCATTCAATCTGCTCCTTTACAATCTCTTACTTGCTAAAGTTGGCGAAATTTGCAAAGGCATCTTGCTTGGGTTGCACAGTTCCAGAAGTCATGGCTAAGTTGGGCATGCCCATTCCCATTGTGCCTGTCAGGCCCATCCCAGCAGTTGACATCCCTATGTTCATGTTCATGCCCATCATGCTCTGGTTCATCATTGGACTATTTCCAAGAGGGGCCATTCCCATGGTGCCAGTCATCAAACTGGGCATGCTCATAGGCATGGGTCCCCCCATCAGAGGGTTAGTTTGGGGCCGGACAGGAAGCATGTTCGATGGAGAACTGAGGTTTACAGCTCCGAAACTTTGGGTCATCACATTCATAGGCTGTTGCATATCTAACAGCAGAAAAGAGACAAAAGAACTTTATCACACTGAATTCTTAGATTCACAGAGCAGAAAAATAATACAATCTTCCTGACCATCAATACTTGTAAGCTCCAATAAAATTACTTTGTAGTGATTTTTTTATAAGAGAAGTCAATTAACTTGTATTGTTTACTCTTGAGAAATATTCAGTGGCTGTTAGCTCTGATTTCCCCAAGATGTAGAAACAGTAAGAGTGGGCTGGCAGAAAACATCAGGCAATTTAAAACCATTCCTATAAAATCTATTACTGAATCCGACCTAACAAGTTGTCAAGAGCTACTGTGTATCAAAAACCTTAAAAAGTTTATATCCTTTGACTCGCTCTATTTTTAGAACGTTATATTAAGGGAAAAAAATCACAAGTAAAAAGATTTATACAAGACCATGGAGTTATTTATAATAGGAAAAAAGCTGGAAACAACTGAAATAACCAGCAAGAGAGGAAATGCACACTAATATGATGGATAACTATAAAGATCCAAAAATCACGCTTTCTTTCTCTTTTTTTTTTTTTTTTTTTTTGCGGTACGCAGGCCTCTCACTGTTGCGGCCTCTCCCGTTGCGGAGCACAGGCTCCGGACGCGCAGGCTCAGCGGCCATGGCTCACGGGCCTAGCCACTCCACGGCATGTGGGATCTTCCCAGACCGGGGCACGAACCCGCGTCCCCTGCATCGGCAGGCGGACTCTCCATCACTGTGCCACCAGGGAAGCCCCACGCTTGCTTTCTTTAAGAATATTCAACACAGAAAAAACAATAATGTTGAATATGAACTGCAAGAAACAAAATATAGACAGAATGATCTCAAGTATTAAAAATGTGGTTAGAAAAGATGGACTATGAAGAAACATGAATTAATGGTGATTATCCCTGGATTATGGAGTTCAGATGATTTTTGTTTCTTGACATATCTGCCTATATTAAAAATTTTTTCTCAACAAATACTTTTATTTTAGTGATCAGGCTCCCAAAACTCACCACCATACAATAAATGTTAACATGTCAAGAGCAGAATACAAAGCAATTCAATGTGCCAAGAGGGATACCAGGTATTATGTGAAAACACAGTTAAGTGTTAAATTAAGTGAATACACAGTTGCTTTCAGTACAGTTTTATTTCATGGCTTGAAGTAGTCCTGGCATAAGGGCAAAGGACTACAAATACACAAAGAAATGGGATGTCTTGCAGTAACTTACTCTGTTGTTGAATCATTGTATTGAGTGATGGCTGCTGGGGTTTGGAAGGCTGCATACCAGGTAGTAAGTTGTCTAGGCTGATGTTTACGCTGGGGTCAGACCAAGTAGAAGGCAGGGTTTTGCTGACTGACTTCTGGACCATATCTGTATTCTGATTATAGAGAGGATTAGGCTTCTGCAGCACTGTGCTAACATTTTGCAAAGGCTGGAAAATAGAAAAATGCTCTAAAAATTAAGCATCTGCTCTATAAAGATTACCAGACGGCAATTTAATCATAGTAACTCCAAATATATACTAGACTTTGTAATAAACTCTTGAAACCAATAAGAACAACAAATGTTCTACATTAAGGTCTTCAATATCCTGAATCACCAGCTTCCCATAATATTCCTCTGAAGTCCAAATCATGTTTGGGGTGGGGAAAAAACATATGTACACTAACAGTTATCCTCCCATCACCCCAATTCTAGAAGCCACAATCCTGGGGCAACTATTAACTTCGGGTTAGTACAACTTTAAGGAAATATACAAGTGGAAATTTATTCGTACAAAATGGAATTCGGGGTATGATTTCTCATGTTAAAAAAACAAAACCATCAAAACAGCAAATTATATTCCACATAACCTGACGGACATATCCCTGCTCCATGTATATTTCTATTGCCTAAAGCAAGCAACACTAGTGGAATTTGGTACAGTATGGACCAATACAGAAGAAAGGAGAAATTCAGGAAAAAGCAGCAGAGGTGCCTGGTAGTTACTACCAGAATAATTGTAACAAGGACAGAAAAAGGGAAATAAATACAAATAGGAAGGATAATTTAAAATGGACCAATGCAAAGACTCACAACACAGTTGCGATTAAGATTGAAAATTAGTAGATTGGCTTTATGCTTAGACCATATGAAAGAAACAGTGAACTGCAGTTCAATTTAATGGTACTGGTATGGCTTTCATGTCCTTTTTCTTAATGTTAGGTCTAATATCTGTTATACAGATCAGTCACCTTTCTGCTTCTTTCTTCTCTTCCTTCATCCTAACACCCAAAATAGGAGATTCTACATATTAAAATGAATAATTAGCATCATAAACAAATATTCAGAATAGCCTGAGTCAAAAATAGCAAGTTCCTGATACAGCTCAGACACATATATTCTGCACTTGTTTGAATTCTAAGCTAGTATTAGGTAATTTAGATTTAATTTTAAAAACTGAATTTAAAAGTTCCTGTTTAGTTATTTTCCTTTATGAAAATAAAAGTTGAAAGAAGAGCCTATATAAACATTATATAATGTAGAGCAGGTCCAGAATAGGGAAGAACATTCATTATTTTAGAGAATAATTTTCTATATTAGCAATATATCTCTATTCCTTCTTCTTCTCGTTCTTTTTTTGCGGTACGCGGGCCTCTCACTGTTGTGGCCTCTCCCGTTGCGAAGCACAGGCTCCAGACGCGCAGGCTCAGCGGCCATGGCTCACGGGCCCAGCCGCTCCGTGGCATGTGGGATCTTCCCGGACGGGGGCACGAACCCGTGTCTCCTGCATCGGCAGGCGGACTCTCAACCGCTGCGCCACCAGGGAAGCCCCTCTTTTCTTGTTCTTAATGTCTTTAATTTTTTATTTTTAGGCCGTGCTGCACGGCACACGGGATCTTGGTTCCCGAACCAGGAATCGAACCCACATGCCCTGCAGTGGAAACGCAGAGTCTTAACCAATGGGCCACCAGGGAACTCCTCTATTCCTTAATCTTAAAAACAATTTTTTAAACTATTAAATTCCAATTTGTTTATTAGTTCAATAAATTTTCAACAAATGCCTCCTCTGTGCAAGGCATCACACTTGGCTTTGCATGGACAGCAAGATGAGTGAGAAGGCCTTGCCCTGGAGAACCCAAATGACTATACCAGGGTAGGGACACAAGGTAAACGCCAATGTACAAAAGTAATCTATGTGTCACTTGCTTATTTTTCTGTTTTATGCTAATCTGCCATTAGCTAGTTAGAGCATCTCAAAGATTATGAATCACAATTTCCAAGGGAGGCAGACAACTTACCTGTGATCTTGACATGGGCAAACCCAGACCTACAGTATTAGTGCTCATCATAGAGAAATTCATACTCTGGGAAGATGTCATTGTTGCCTGCGATGAGCCCATAAGATCAAATAGGTCTGAAGAATTTGAGGCAGCTGGAGGTGGGCCTAAAGCTGGTTGTGAGCTACTGACAAGCTCTACAGCTGGCTGTGAGGCACTGCTGAAGAGCTCACCACTGGCAGCAACAGGGCCTGACGGGGCTTGGTTGAAGGCACTCCAGTCACCAAAGTCTCCATTCCCACTTGCTGCTGTTACTGAGAAAGAAAAAAGGGTAAGAAAGTTTCTGAAATGCACAGAACACATATGACAGTCTTCCAAGTGAAACAAATTAGAGCTGATCTGTGTCCATCCAGATTAACATCTGCAGGTACCATCTCCATCTGGACATTATTCTTTCTCATGAATATTCCACCAGTGTTAACAAGGTGGCAAAGAAAAAAAACTTCCACATATAAAGTAAAATCCATCTCTTGGCATTGGCAGGTCTGAGGTGACACAAAGAAATTACAGAAACTAAAGCTTTCCTTCAACCTAAGTTTGCATATCAAATAAGTTTCTAGCTAAACAAATATGAACTAGCCTGAGATCCCCAAAAAACAAGAAAAAAACCTCTAAACTGGTTAAACTCTTTGCTGGGAGATCCAGAATCCTCATGCAAGGAGTAACTCAGTAAAATCAGACAGTTCAGCTCATTTTGTTCAATCATTATTTGGAAAGGTTCAAAGAGAAATCAGACTATGATTTATACCATCTCATGTAAATAAAACCCCAAATTCATTAAAAAGAAAAACTCAAAAACTCAATAAAATTAAGACTAGGATTACTAAATTTCTGTAAGAAGTTCTCACCCATTTGGCCATGCTTCCACTGACAACACAAAGGCTACAGAGAGCCATGATATATAACCTTAGTACACTGTTTACTTCAAATGGGACTGTTCAATCTATTTAAGTAAAAAGCGGGGTATAGTCTTAAGAGGGGAACTCATGCTAATATTTAAAAAGAGAAACAAAACTATCACTATGCTTCAAAGTATAATTATAACAAGTTTAAGATTTAATGCATAGAAAAGATTTAATGCATTTAATAATATAAAAATTAATAGGTTAGGGCTTCCCTGGTGGCGCAGTGGTTGGGAGTCTGCCTGCAGATGTGCGGGACGTGGGTTCGTGTCCTGGTCCGGGAAGATCCCACATGCCGTGGAGCGGCTGGGCCCCTGAGCCATGGCCGCTAAGCCTGCGTGTCCGGAGCCTGTGCTCCGCAACGGGAGAGGCCATGGCAGTGAGAGGCCCGTGTACCGCAAAAAAAAAAAAAAATTAATAGATTAATAGACTGAAATATTTAAGAGAACGGATTTTGTATTTTACTGGCTGTGTGACCTTACTTAACCTTCTCTGTGCCTTTGTATTTTTATTTTATTTAAAGGAGAGCTTTTATTTATTTATGTGGCCCCACCGTGAGGCATGCGGGATCTTAGTTCCCCAACCAGGGATCGAACCCATGCCCCTGCAGTGGAAGCACAGAGTCTTACCCACTAGACTGCCAGAGAAGTCCCCCGTGCCATACTTTTTAAAAAATCTAAGTTGCGAAGACTGAATAACTTAATATATAGTAAGTGCCATTTGAGGTTTATTGTTACTTTGGATTAATTGTGAAAAGACAGAGGAGAGGCAAAGCATCACACTTTCTTTCCTTTAGGTATGCCATATAAAAGTATAAGTCAAGCTTCTATAAATTCTGCATACATAATACTATTTGGAACACAATAAATATAAAGGCAAGTGATACTTGCAAAAAAATTTTTTTAAACTAGGCTATACTAAGTAAACAAACCTTGCTTTAAGAAAGGGACAAACAGATAAATATGAATTAATGGAAGTTGAAAAAAGCAAAGGTGAAGAAAGAGCTACATATAAACTGTCATCTGAAAGCGAACAGTATGTAGCTCAAGTTAATTTCTTTGCACTACATGTTCACTTACAACTAGGAAATACATTTTGTCTAGCCTAAAAGGTAACCACCCACTATGATATTGTGTCTCATTATGCTAAATATCAAGAGAACAATAACATTAAGTCTTTAAAATTATATGTTCTATTACCATTTTGTAATGTAAGCACCCTCAAAAGAGAAAATAATTCACTTAGAAACCCCAAGTTCTACCAACAATTTAATATAAGAACTGGGCTGATATTCATTACTTCCGGGTTTTGCTAAAATATGTCTTTGATCTTCTTTACAAAAAAGACTGAATTAAGAGTTTTACAGTTAGTTCTATGTATTAAACAATTTAAACTAATTTAAGGAAGACTGCTGGATAAAGGTAAACTTTATGCTGATTTTCTATCTGCTTGATCTAGAAAACAGAATAAGAATGGAAACTGGGGCAAAATGTGTTGCCCCATCTGAAAACTTTATCTGAGATGATTAATCATGGGAGGAAGAGATTTCTAGTGAGGCATACATTGTTCAGCAATCATTAATCATTGTTGCAACAGCTTCAGCCCCTTGCGTAATGGTGATCAGGTTATGTTAATCACATAAGATGAAGAGATGTTATCACTTAGCAACATTAACATATTTGAATTATTTGCATAGTAGGCAACTTTATATACATAAAAACTTTGAGAATTACACAGGCAGTCTGTAAAATTAGGGCAATGTTCATTTTCCACTTTGATTTGCCTATAGCAAGGTATTAACCCTTACAAGGTATAACCACACTTCTAAAATGAAGCAGTTCATTACTCCACAATCCTGGTTTCTGGGAAATACTTGGAATTTACACAAGTGGTCCAAATAACCCAAATCACATTAAAACCTATGCGTCTTTCTTCCTAAATCCTCACTAACCTAAACTAGACAGTACTAAATATAAATTTTAATCCAATTAATGGGGATAGATGACTCTACTTGAAATGAATAAAACTAATTCAGTTAAATATTTCCTCCTTGCCTCACCTCATGTTTGATTTTTATAGCTAAATTTTTTATATTATCTCTCAAACTTCAGACTGACCAAATTTTATGGAAAAAAACATTAGAACCAACCCCTTTACAACCTAAAAGACACTTAATAATGAACTGAGACCCTATTCTACACGTCTCTACAGACGTTACTCTATCCTTATAAAGAACCATGACAAGTAGCATTATTCCCAATTTTAGAAAGGTGGAGGCTCAGAGGCTTTCATAAAGTTAAATAGCTACCAAAGTATATGGCAGAGGTAGTAAGATAAAAATATTAATAATAAGGGGGAAAAATACAAGCCCTTCACCTCAGTCCATTATGTTTAAGCCTATATTCTGCTTGGATGTTAGCTTTTTTTTTTGCCATTTTAAAAAAATTGAGGGTGTTAACTGACACATAACATTATATTAGTTTCAGGTGGACAACATAATGATTTGATCTTTACAAATATTGTGAAATGATCACAACAAATCTAGAGTAGTTTAAAATTTCTAATTTAACATGGAATGAGGAATTCTTTTTTGCCTGAGGTTCAACTGCTCACATTTAAGGATATGCCAAAATGAAGTTCAGTTATTTTTCACAGAAATTCTTTTAAGATATCTAAATTATAAAGAAATGAATTTTGGTAAGATGGTCTGCCCAACTCCAATGTCCCTGAATTTCATTCAAGAAAATCATATAAGCTAAACATAAACCATAATATTCTTGCTGCTAAAATGAGATTTATACTTATTCACACTCCCTACGCACCTACTCCCTGCCCCCCCCCCGCCCCCAAAAATAAAACAAGAGTCACTTATGAGTGAGGGCAATTTTATTTAGGTGTACCTGAGTAGTCTGCAACCAGATTAATTCGTCTGGCACATTTAGGATACTGGCCCAATAAAGTACCTTTGTGAATAAATTCTTTGGGAATTGGGAATTATAAATACTACTACAAGTAGAAAATGGCCAAAAGCAGCAGATGGGGGTGGGGTGGTGAAGGGTTGTTTTGTTTTGGTTAACATTTCCACTGCCCCTAGATTTCTGGCCAATCAAATCATATCGTACCTTGGGAAGGGAAATTGCTTGATGCAGCGGCTGAGCCAAAGTCAGCAAAGCCTCCAAATAAATCAGCTGATCCTCCTAGAAATTAAGTATGAGGAAAAAAAACTGTCAGAACCACAGCACAACTGATAGCACTTTTAGGAAGCCATTTTAGCACTGCACTCAAAAAATACCCAATACTAGAGCCCCAAGACCCATCATAAACAGCTAGTTAGTTGATCCAGCTTTTCATGTCACCATGTTCCCTTTAAGCTACCACAGGACAGACTCTCTTACAGTATCTCTCAGTTCTGTAACTAGTAATATAATAGATACTACAACTGTGGTTACAGTTACCCCTTACTCACATTTCACGAACATAATGTAGGCATGTAGTTTATCTGGCCAATTATGCTCTTTATAAGAATCTTCAGTGGATGCTAAAACCTGGGTAAAATGTTGCTGGGTAATCAAATCATCACTCCACAGATTAATTACAAATAAAAAGAGATTAAGCTACTTTTACAGTGCAGAAATCATATAGATACCACCTTAAACAAGTGCTCAAACTTAATGTCACTAACAATCGGACAAAATAGCACTCATGGGTCTTCTAATATAAAGAGACTAAAAAAGAAATCATCATCCAAATTCTTCCCAAAAATATTTAACCTGACTCCAGTCACGAAGAATGAATCAGACAAATACAAATTGAGGGACATTCTGCAAAACAGCTGTCAAGACTCTTCAGAAAATGTCATCATAAAAGAAGAAGACCAGGACCACTCCAGATTAAAGAAGCCTAAAGAAACATGGCAAGTAAATGAAATGGGTGATCCTTGACTGGACTCTGGATATTTAAGTAAGTGCTATACTGAAATGATGTAATTGAGACACCAGGGAAATGTGAATATGGTCTATTATACAACGGTACTGTTTCACTGTTAAATTCCCCAAATATGATAATTATATTATGATTGTGAAGGAGAATGTCCTTGTTGTAAGGAGATATACGCTGAAGTATTTTAGGGGCAAAATGTTATGATGTTTGCAATTCTCTCAAACGGTGCACAATAAATAAACAAAACCAAAAAAGAACTAGAGAGAGACAAAGAAAATGTGACAAATTTTCTGCAGTTTGACTTTTATTTAAATAAAAGGGGAAAAAAAAACCCTTTAAGTTGATCTGCATAGTAATCAGTTTTAATAGCTATAGGAAGAAAAATGAATGCAATGAAAAGGTGGACTATTTTT